AGCGTGTGGGGATGAACGAATGAATGAGTAAGGGAGTGAATGAATGAACAGTCACTGTCCCCCGGACAGGGCTCACACAGGAGGAGACACCTCTGGTGGCCCTGGGAGCGGTGCTCCAGGTCCTCTCTGTTTGGGTGCTGGAGTCCAGACGGAGAGATGAAAGTCTGGGCCCAGGAATCCTGGGATGCTGGGGGGCGACAGACCAGGGGGGCAGAAGCCCACCGAGGAAAATGAATTCCCAAACAGCCGGGCTTCTCCTCCAGGAAAGAGTGAGCTCCTTGTCCCAGGGAATATCCAAGGAGAAGCTAGTCTCCTCTCCGGGACCCCTGGGCTGCCAGGCACAGTGTTAGAACCACGCTGGGGGCACCTCGCAGCAAACGCATCTGTCTCCCTGCACCCGCAGGGTTCTGTTGCTGGTTCTGTTGCTTTGAACTTGCAGAGGCCTCTGCCCGCACCATGAGAACCCTCATTCCTGCTCCACTGGGGGCCTACTCCACTTTCTTTCCGGGGTGATCAGGCTGTGGGGTGGCGGGGTGTGGCAATGAAACCACACACGTGGGTTCTCAGAGCCTGGCTGTCCCACAGCCCCAGGCCCAGGCCTCTGCCCTCTGGTGCAGCTCTGTGTGCACACGTGGCTGGGGGCTCCTCCCCGGAGGACAGGCAGGGGCAGTGACCATGCCCCCTCACCCCAAAGATGGGGTGCCTCCCAGCCCCCCAGGGCACCCCCAGAGCGACTCCACTCTCATTAGCCTGGGACTCTGCAAGAGGGGACTCGGGTCTGACCCCCACCAACAGGTCATTCTGTGGCTTGATCAGCCCCTGGGCAGCAGGGCCCAGGGGCAGGTGGCCACCCCTTCCCATCTCTCCCCCAACCCCCCGCCTCCCCACACCCCAGGCTCCGAGAGGACTCCTTGAATGTTTTCTGTTTTTTTTTTTTTTTTTTTTATCGTCCTAGGGAACTCGTGTTTTTAAAAGGTTATGTCCATTAAGCAGGACACACACTGCCATTTGTAATTCATATTCTGAGAGCTCTCCTCTCAGACACATGTTATTCCATCCTTGACAATCTGCCCGCGCTCGGTAGGCTGCCCTGTCTTGGGTGACTGTCCCAGCCTGTGCTCTGTCCCCTCCTCCTCTGCACTCAGGCGTGCAGGGCCCCTCCTCTCCTCCCCCAGCTCCGGTGCCCCCACCCGCACCCACCAATGCCAGGGCCCCGTTCACACTGGAACCGATATGCCCCCATCCAATTCCCTCATTCCTAAGCGTGGAATCCCAGCAAATTGCTGGACAACAGGGGCCACTGTGAGTATCTTACAGTCGGTTTCTAGAAAATTAGAACACCTTGTCTGTTTCACCCTGGCCTACTTAATCTAACGGGGGGCACGTTTCCCTAATAAACGGACAGATGGTGACCTTTCAGGAGGTTTAGGCATGTTTCACGGGTTTTAGTGAAATAGAAACATTCTAACACAGTAAGTCTCTTCTGCCCTTTTCAAAATTCTGAGTTTCTTGCATATTATTAAAAATGTCAGGGCCCTACACCCAGGCTGCAGGTAAATGGGGTACCTTTGGGGCTAACGTATTTGTCCAGAGCGCGACCTGGGGGAGGGGCTGCAAGTGGGGCCTCGGGCACGTATAACCTGCCCCAGAGCAGAGCTCCTGACACTGGAAGGGGAGATGCACACCAAAGTTTAGTGCATTTTCTTAAATGTTAAAAGCAGGGACAGTCACTCCAGGGAGCTGGTGGACCTGACGAGGCCTTTGGGGCTGGAAACAGACAGCCGGTATAGAGGCAGGCTGGCCTCTCCTGGGGCAGAGCCTGGGCCGGCTCCCGAGCCATGTGACCGCACTGCCCGGGGACGCCGGGGTCCGCAGCCCACAGCCCGCCCTCCAGGCTGGGAATGTCAGCCCCACGTGGGCCCGGCACTGAGGAACCCTGGCAGGTCCAACCATTTCCTGCACAACAGCTTCTCCGCTTTCTTTCTCTTCTCGGGCCCTGCCGCGACCTTGAATCATCCCCCCTGGATGTCTCCCAGGCCCCCCAACCCAGACTCAGCAAGGTTCCTCCCGGCCGGCCCCTCCCCCATATTCTCCTTCTCTTCCATGTCTCTGCTCTTCCCCCCAAGAACCGCCCCTGCCGGGAACCTGGGGATCACCCGTGGTCCCTGCTTCCTGGCCTCGGGGCTCCCAGAAGAGTTCAGCCCCAGCTTCTGAGGCCCTGTGTGGCACCTGCCAGGATGGCACCTCCAGCCCTGGCCCTAGCATTTACTCCCATTGCTGAGACCCCCACGGTGACGGGTCTGAGCATGTGAAGATGCGTGTCAGATCTCTAACTCCCCAGCAGGGGCTCATGCGGCCGACGTTAGCACCTGCTGCAGGGAGCTGTGTGTCCAGCCAGGCCGGCAGGCTGCAGGGGGAAGACCTGTGTCTCGGGACACGTCTGGGAGGGGAGGGCACCACAGAGCCGAAGCATCAGCGGTGAGTCTCGGCAGAATGGTTGGGGGGGGGCGCCAGGCCCCCAGCCTCCTTACCTGCCGCCAGGTATGGCCGCAGTCTGACGTGATGTACATTTCTTCCTTATATTCCACCAGCTGTGAGCCCAGGTTACCTGGTCGGGAAGAATAGGGGCAGGGTTGCTCTTAGGATCAGCCTGCTTTTGGCCCTACCAAGGTATATGTCCAGACAAATGCCCACACAGGAGTGATGTGGGCCCTGGGTCTACATCTCCCACACCCAAAACCGCCCATGCGCATGCCCCCTCTGCATGCTCCGTATACTGACCGGCCTATGGAACCATTAGAACTACTGGTCCTAGTTTGTGCAGACAGGGATTAACTTTGCAAAGAAAGCGAGCGTCAGGCAGGGCAAGGGACTTGAGGGGTTCACGGGGAGTGAGCGGCTCAAGAACAACTGTGGAGGGCTGATCAGGGACTGGTGAGGAGGCCATGCTCCACGTGGGCCGGTGTGGGGTCGTGGTGGTCCCTGACAGGATTTACACTGGGGCAGGACACAGCTGGGTTTGCATTTGGAGCCAGCTCCCCGGGGCTGGGGGCCGGGTAGACCAGAGGTCCAGGGCTAAATGGGAAGTACAGGTGAGAGGCAGGCTAAGCACCCAGGAGGTGCTCATTAAATGTGTTCAGTGGATGTTCGGAGGAATGTGAGGTGGGCACCAGACCAACCAGATGGCCGGGACGTCCTTAAGTGGTTCACTTAAGCCCAGCACCAGGCTGGCTGATGGGTCAGCACCCTCAAGGCCACTTTCTAGACTCAGACTTAAATCCTGGGGTGGTGCCAGAGTGGGAAGATGCCCAGCTCAGGGTCCAAGCGAACCCCAGCCTACAGATGAGGACACTGAAGCCCTCTGGACTCTAGCTTGGAGCCCCAGAGGCCCCTGCCCTGGGAAACCTGTACATCACTGGCCATTCGTAGCATTGTTTATGGGGCACTCTCAGGAGTATCTTATCCAGAGACAAGTTCAGATGTCTTTGGAAAATTCCAAAGGAGATGGATTGTCCTCAAATAGATGAGTGAATGTGAGTTTTAAGGAGAGTGGCAGATGGTTTGTGTACCTGTCATCTTTGTTGAGGTCCAACCAAGCACCAATATGTTCATCCATCCATCCATCCACCCATCCATCCACCATCCATCCATCCATCCATCCACCATCCATCCATCCACCATCCATCCATCCACCATCCATCCATCCACCATCCACCCATCCATCCACCATCCATCCATCCACTCATCTCTCCATGCATCCCTCCATCATCCATCAATGCATCCTTCATTAGTTTACCCATCCATCCACCCACCCATCATCCCTCCATCCCCCCATTTCTCTTCATCATCAATCCCACACACTCGCCCATTCCTGCACTTATTCCATCCATCCACCATCCATCCATCCATCCATCCACCATCCATCCATCCATCCACCATCCAACCATCCACCATCCATCCATCCATCCACCATCCATCCATCCACCATCCACCCATCCACCATCCATCCATCCATCCATCCATCCACCATCCATCCATCCATCCATCCACCATCCATCCATCCATCCACCATATCCAACCATCCACCATCCATCCATCCATCCACCATCCATCCATCCATCCACCATCCATCCATCCATCCATCCACCATCCATCCATCCATCCATCCACCATCCATCCATCCACCATCCATCCATCCATCCACCATCCATCCAACCAAGCACCAATCCATCCACCATCCATCCATCCACCATCCACCATCCATCCATCCACCATCCATCCATCCACCATCCACCCATCCATCCACCATCCATCCATCCACTCATCTCTCCATGCATCCCTCCATCATCCATCAATGCATCCTTCATTAGTTTACCCATCCATCCACCCACCCATCATCCCTCCATCCCCCCATTTCTCTTCATCATCAATCCCACACACTCGCCCATTCCTGCACTTATTCAACAGCATTTGCTGAGCACCTGCTCTCTGCCCAGCCCCTGTGCTGAGCTGTGGGGGTTCTGAGCTGAATAAACCACAGCCCCGGCTCCCAGAGACCTCTCAACCCAGCTGGGGAAGAAGTGTGCCATGCGACTGCACACAGAGCCAGGACATCTGGAAGCCCAAGGAATCGTGAGTGCAGACAGGGGACAGCTGATGGGCCCGGGAAGGAAGGCCATCAAAAGGAGACTCCCGCAGGGAGTGACCTGCAGGCTGGGCCTGGAGAGACAAATGCGTGCTGGCCAAGGGAGAAGGAAAGGGGGTGCCAGGTGGAGGGAACGGCCGGGTTAATGGCGTGGTGGTGGGAAGGCGCGTGGCAGAGGGAGGGGCAGAGGGGCAGGTGCTGAACTGGGTCCCTTCTCCCCACCTGGCAAACAAACGGCGCTGAGATATGGCCATGAATGCAGGCAAGGAGGGAGTTGAATGAATAAATGGAATGACTGGGGTGGGAAGGCGCATTGCGGATGCCAGCAGACACCCCGGGACGCACACATGGCATGTGGAGCCGCGCGGCGAATGCTGTGGTGTCAGCAAGACTCGGCAGGCGAGTTCCCTGTCTGCGATTTCATGGCGCAGATGTCTGTCTTCTAAGGGACGCTCTCTGTTTTCCTTGCTCTGTCTACCAGAGCTGTCAGGCTGCCAGTCACCCAACAGGCACTGGGGAAAACTAAAGGGAAATTCATGGAATGTGTCCCTAGGCTGTCAGGGCAGAAGGGCCTGAGAAACATGGAGGCGATGCCCTCATTTTACAGATGGGGAAACTGAGGTCTGGGGGGGGACGTGACTAAGGGAGAGGCAGGGAGGCTGCCATGGGCATGCCCTCTCTCTGCAGGGTCCGGCAGGTTGGCTGGGTTCCGTGGTCTCCGTGAGATGGAGCGTGGTGCGTGACATCCCTCCAGATCCGCATGCTCGGGCAGCCAGGAAGTTCATTCTGGGTTTGTGAGGCCTTTGGGCCACAGAAATATTTAAAATTGTGCCTTTGTTATTTTGGTCAAGAATCTGGCGATTCAGCCCATCAGGACAGTGCTTCTGAAGGGCTGAGAGGCAGGAGCGCCCTGTGGGTGTCTGCTCCCCCGGGAGCCTGGGTTGGGTTTCGGGCTTCCTGAGTGACACCTTGCAGGTGGGGCAGGTAATCCCACTGCCCCAGCTCCTGCCTGCTCTCCTGTGAAGACGGGGGTAAAGCTCTCAGGGTTGGTGCAGTGATTAGGAGCTCAGTGCCTGGACGGAGGAAAGGTCCGGCCACAGAACGGCTCGTCCTCCCTTCCCTCCCATCGGTGGCCCGAGGGCTCCTACCCGCACCGAAGTGGTGGAAGCAGATGGGGACTGTCCCAGCGCTGGGCGCAGGATGGCCCTTAACCTTGAACACAACAAGGAAAGTAAGATGCCAGCTGCTGCCTGGCAATGTGCTTTCAAAACACATGCTTTTAATTTTGGAAGATTCTCTGAAGTCAAATAAACCTAATTTTAGCTCGTGTCCTATCCGCGCACATGTACTCACCCCCAAAGGAGGCTCTAGTTTACCCGTGTTGACAGCTACGGGTATGACTTTGCTCTGATTTTTTTTTCTCATGTTAGTTATAAGTGTCTCTCTCTCTCCTTGACTAAATTAGAATCTTCTTCAGGAATCAACACATGTCAGCCATGACTCAAATCATTCTTCCAACCATCCATTCCTCCCTCATTTGATCCATTCACCATTCTGTGATCTGTCCTTCCGTCTGACCATCCAACGGCCCACTCTTCCACCCACCCACCTATCCCTTTGCCCGTCCTCCACGATTCACCCCTGCCCCATCATTCGTTGGCCATCCATCCATCCATCCATCCATCCATCCATCCATTCATCCATCCAACCATCCATTCAACCATCCATCCATCCAACCATACAACCATCCATTCAACCATCCATCCCACCATCCAACCATCCACCCATCCACCCATCCACCCATCCATCCAACCACCCATCCAACCAACCATCCATCCATCCATCCATCCATCCATCCATCCATCCATCCATCCATCCATCCATCCATCCATTTTCCCATGCAGCAACATGTATCACGTGCCCACTCTGTGCCACGCATCAGAGGTGGGCCATGATTGCTGAGCTCCCTGGAGATGTTGCACCCCTGCCCCTCAAAAGACAAGCAAGGCCCCAGGCCCACAGCCATCCAGTTTTCCCCTTGAGGACGGAGCTCCCCGAAGGCACTGATGGTAACCTCCTACCTGCGCCCATGATGAGGCCCGGGGCAGTGTCTTTGGTGTGCACGGTGCCTGACACGTAGGGGTTGTCTGCCCATCGCAGGTGCAGGTGGAGGTGGCAGTCCGGCTGCAGGGGTGGGGGAAAAGGGGGCCAAGGTCAGCACTCAGGTGAGAGACATGTTCCCAGGAAAGGTACGACTGAGGAATTTCGGATGGGAAGGCAGGGCCAGGAGCATCTCGGAGGAGGGGATGGAGGGCAGGAAGGAGGCTCTGGAGCTGACTGCAGGGTGGAGGCCATCGGGTCCAGGGGTACTGGTTGTGGACAAAGCCAGTGGGGCTTCTCCAAGGGAGCGTCCTCCCAGCACAAGAGAGCACACCCAACATGTAGTGGATATTCCCATGGGCAGTGCTCAGTCACTGAATGTGACTCCTGGAGTCTGCACATCCCTTGGCCACATCCATCCGTCTGTCCATCCATCCAACCACCCATCCATCCATCCTTCCATCCATCCATCCATCCATCCATCCATCCATCCATCCAGAACCTTTCCCGGGGGCCTCCTAGTGGCCGCGGTAGGTAGCCCAGGCGGCAGGGAACAGCTGTAGGACACCCCAGCATCCCTGCACCTTCAGTGAAGAGCCCAATGGCAAGCATCATGTGTGCCCCGAGGGCAGCCCTGGGTGGGGGGTGCCCAGGCGGGAGGGGCAGGAAAACCAGTCATTATAATCATTTCAGTGGTGACTCACATGGATGTGCCAGCACTGAGCTCAGCACTACACATCACTGGTGCTCTCCACACCCCTGTGTCACCGGCTGAGGAAACTGAGGCAGACAGCATCTAAGCAACCTGCCCAAGGGCAGTAGTGGGGCTGGAGCTATGACCCAGGCTGCCTGGACCCAGTGTCCACACTCTGAGCCTGCGGGTGGCTCCCTGGCAGGGGATGCACTTCCAGGCCAAACTCGGCCAGGAGCCTCCCAGGAGGAGGAGCGGAGTGGTTTCCTGTCTGGCCACTTGCCAGGAACATACCCCCTCACCCCACCCCGTCTCCTCCTGGCTGCCTGCACCCCAGCTCACCCCCAGGTGGGACTGGGGGTCCAGGCAGGACAGATGAGCTGAGAAGGCCGTGTCCTGTGAACTGTGGCCTCCCCGAGTCTCCCCAGACCTCAGGGGCTCGAGGCCTCAATCTTGCCTGCACCCCTCTGACACCCCCACGACAGACTACAGAACCATGGGACCGGGTCCCAGTCTCCACACTGCGCCTCGGGGGTACTGGGGGCTGCACGGGGCAGGAACCTGTCAACCATGCCCCAGGGGCTGCCCGCACAGAGCACCCCAGCACCTGCTTCTTCTTTCGTCCTTCCAGGACACGAGCCTGGGGGGTGGGGTCTGGGGTTCTGACTGGCTGAGCCCACCTCGGTAACACAGGAAAGGGAGCAGGAGGGCCACCAGAGACCCCGCCACACAGCAGACCTCAGAGGGGTTCTTGGTTAACAACTTTGGGGTCAGCCTTTCTGGAGGCCCCTGTCTGGGGGCCTGGAATATGTGGGGACACAGAGAGGACTGGGGTTTGAATCCTTATACCCCCCAAAAGCTGTGTGACTCTGGAAAAAGTGCTTAGCGTCTCTGAGTCTCTGTTTCTTTCTCCACTTCACAGGATTACTGGATTAACACAGCACAGCTTTTGGAGAGAACGTCAGGGTCCAGCCCAACCCCGGACAAGGTTTTGCTTAATGGCTTACTTACAAGAAAAGGATTAATTTCTTTGGCCCTCTTTTTTATTTCCTGGAAAAATCTCCAGTTTAGAATTACCGAGGCACCGAGCCCCCAGACAGCCTGCTTTTAACTTGGGAGATGCCACTAATTTTATGGACACCTCTGGGCCTTGGTCTCCTCGTGGTGATATGAAGGCAGCGGCGCCCGCTGCGCATGCCTCCCAGGGCATGGGAGTGACCCTGCAGACCCCACTGTCAGGCCCACGTTCTACCATCTGCTGATGTTTATCTGAGAGATGCAGCTGCTCCTCCTTTTATGTTTCATGGCACTTTCTTTGGGCCCATGGACGGAGCACATTTTAGATGATCCTAAGGGACAAGTGAAACCGTTCAGTAAACTGGACGTCGGCCCAGGTCAGGGGGCACCAGGTGGCAGCCCCAGGGCCTGGTCCAGTCTCTGTGGAGACAGGAAGCCGACTAGTGCAGGCTAGGGGCTGGGCGTGGGGTGGGGAGGTGTGGGGTGGCTGGGCATGGGGTGGAGAGCATGGGGTTGTGCGGTGGGGGGTGTAGAGTGGGGGTATGGAGTGGGGAGCTGCAGAGTGGGGGGCATGGGGTGGGGATCGTGGGGTGGCTGGGTGTGGGGTGGGGTTGCAGGGTGGGGGGGCATGGGGGGTGTGGGAGGTCGTGGGGTGGCTGGGCATGGGGTGGGGGGCATGGGGTAAGGGATTGTGGGGTGACTGGGTGTGGGGTGGGGTCGTAGGGTGGGGGTCATGGAGGGGTGGCTGGGCGTGGGGTAGGGGAGCCCCTGCTGCGGGTGAGCACAGAGTCACTGAGTCAGCGGAGGAGAACCCTGCGCCCAGTCCAGGAGCACTTGGATCCAACAGGACAAACCCTCCCCACAAACCCATGGGGTAAGACTTTGCCTGTTGGGGTTTTCTCCTGACTTCTTATGACTGAAAAGCAGATTGGTGAGTGAGTATCTTTGGTGAGACCATTCAGTTCTCTCCCCATCCCCGCCCCGTGATCAGACACTAAGGGGCAGGGAGATTTCTATGACCTCTGTGGGCACGGACATCTCCCAGGGAGGGGTACCCCGGCACCCATGACCTCTGTGGGCAGGGCTGCCTCCCGGGGGTACAAGGGAGCTCTGAGTCAGAAGAAAAAGGAGCCTCACCAGGGATGAGGCAGAGAGGGGAGGTGGCACAGCCCTGCTTTGCTGCCCCTGGTTTCCTGGTGGGCCAGGTGAGGGCTGGAGCAGCCTGAACTCCCGGGCTGGCCTCCCTGGGCTGCCACCAGGCTTTCCATGTCCCCTGATGTGCTGTGCATATGGTACCACTCTGTGGGCAGTGAGCCGAGTGTGGCAGAGTGTCCTGCCTCGTAGAACCTGGCCGCCTCCCCCTCCCCGGCTGCTGGGGGCTGTCCCGGCTGCCAGCTATTTGTTTGGGCCAGAGGTGGAACCTCCTCAGGGTTCTGTGCACTCAGTTGTGACCCATAGGATGCTGGTAGGTGAGAGCAGAGCTGGGGAGCCTTTGGAGCCACGGAGGGCCTACTGACAAGTGTCTTCCCGGGGGTCCTGGAGCTGCTGGGGTGCTCTGCTGGTTTCTGACAGCTCGACACAGGCCTTGTGATTGCCCCCCAGCCACATGTGGACTGAGCTGATGGAGGGCTGGGTGGGCAGGGTGAGGCAGAAATGGGGGGGTGCTGAGCCCAGGGCACTCAGGCCCCCTGCGGTCAGGGCGAGGGCTGTCAGAGAGGGGCCAGGGCGGGAACCCCCAAGGGGAGGCTGGTGTCACAGCTGAACATCCTGTCCTAAGAGGGGTGAGCCCGGGTCCCTGCAGGGCTTGAGGGGGTGAGAGGCGGGCCATGCAGGGGAGCCGCACAACACTCCCAGCACCCCCTTCTTGGCCCCTTCCTGACATAGCCCGGATCTGAGAAGGGCTGCAGAGCGAATGGGTTTTCATTCTGAATTAAGACGTAAACAAATTCACACCACTTCCAAAGAGGATTTATCCTCCCAAAACAGATCTGATCCTGACACTCATCTACGTCCCAAGTCCCCATTCTCAGAAGGAAATCTGCCCCAGTGGAGAGCCAGAGTTAAGAGAAAAGACCCAGAGTTAGGAGAAAGAAGACACATCACACATGCGTTGGGGTCCCTGCGATGACTCTTCCACTACATGGAAGCTAAAGATTGTCCGGAATATGCCCGATTATTGTTATTTCTGGGTGACCCGGTGACAGCTGTACCTTCTCTCCCTGGCTATACATTTCCATATTCTGCAATAAGCGGGAACCCCTTTTTTGAGGAGAAGTGAACCCTCTGTTCGTGCAGAGGACGTGCGGCCAAGTGAAGGATGCAGACAAGAGACCCAGGTGAGTGGCCAGGCCTGGACCTCGCTCTCTCTTGCCTGGAGGTCACTGGGCTCTCAGCGGGCTGCTGGGGCCACACTCCACCAGCCTGCTCCCACTTGTGTTATTTTAAAGCGAGGACATGAATCTCACGAACGGTATCTCCTCACTGAGCTGCATAATTTCAGACAAGAATCTCTTCTTAGCAAAAAACTTGCTTTGACAGATTAATATGGCTTAAGTTTGCTGATGATGATACAAAAATGAGCCCTTCACAGCACTCCCGTTCTCCGAAGACTTTGTACAAGTGGCAGGAAATTACTTCTTCCCGCAGGTTGACAGGTGTTACTCCCCGCCACCCCGGGGGTCTCAGTGGGAGGGCATCGCACCCAGGCTGGGCACGGGCCCCTGGGTGGGGGGTGAGGGGCAGCCCAGGCCTGGGCTCACCGAGCAAGGGCCATCCCTGCCAGGCTGGGGCTGCTGCCCTAGGGAGGGCTCTTGGGGGTCAGCGTCCCCGAGGAAGAGGGAGGCACAGATTCTTCCTGGATTGTTTCCACACCATGGCCGGTGGGCTGGGGGCCTACCATATTCAGAGGCCCTGCAGAGAGGTCCCGGCAGGATCCTGGGAGGGCAGGGTTAGGTGTGTTGATGTATTCCAAACACCTAGAACAGTGCCTCACACATAGTAGCTACCCATATATCTTTGTTGGACGAATTTCCCTGTAAAACAGACACTGTCCTTCTTTATGTGTTGCAGAGGGACAGAGCTATGGAAGGGCTCAGGTCATCCCCAGAGCGTGGTCCCTACCTGCAGGGACTTACAGTCGAGGCCAGTGGAAAACAGAGAAGTAAGTATGCCCAGTGGAGGCTTCTCAGTGGAGGGGCTATCTGGGCAAGGTTTTCAGGCATCAATAGGAGTTTGCCGGATGAAGAGAAAGGAAAAGGCATTCCAGGCCACAGGACAACATGAGAAGGGGGGCAGTCCAAATGGGAAGGGACGTGCCCTGCCCTGCCTGCTTGCTCTATGCAGCTCTAACTCCGGACCCCACCCCATCCCACTCGGAGCAGGCCCCTGCTAGGGAAGGCCGGGTACTGGTGCTGGTGGTGAGCTCCCCGTGGAGCAAGGAGAGGCGGGTCTGCAGGGCGCTGAGCAGCCTGCCTCAAGCCAGGGCCCCTTAGTGCTCCATCTTGTCATCCTCACAGACATGGGCCTGCCTGCCATCCACACCTCCCGGGGGCCAAGCCCCCCAGGGCAGTCAACGGACTGGGGCAGCCTGCACTGGTGTTCATGTGGGAGGACCCCAGGGGTAGTGGGACTGGCCTAGAGCTCAGGACATCTGGGCTGTGGGCCAGCCTGGCCGCTTTTCCCAGTCCCCACACCACACACACAGGCAGAGTGCACTTCCCTCCGTGCGGGCCCATGGATTTAGCAGGTGTAACAGAGGCTTGCCGTGTGCTTGCCTGCTTCTGCTCACCCTCTGGCACCTCGGCCATCGCCATGACAGGGAGCCAGGGCTGGTCCCGGGAGAAGGGGGAGGCCCGATACAGGGAGCAGACCCCCTCTGACATCAGCCAACCCCCACATTTGTGATGAGCCCAGCCCAGATCTGGAGACTGTGGGACTGTTGGTGGCAGTTTGTTACGCAGCAACATTGTGGCCCATGCTGACTGATGCACTTTCCCTCTCTGACCTCCAGGTAACCCTTCCGTAAAGCAAGGGGTTTCACGGGAGCCTCTCTGCCGTGCCCAGAGATGTCTGCGGCCCCTGGCTCTCAGATGGTCCTTCTCAGACGTCCCTACCTGAGCCACCCCAGGGAAGGTGTGGGATAGGAGAGGCACTTACCGGCTCACAGTTGGTGGGTTTTCCATTCATGTCCGTGCTCGGCGGCCTCAGGTGAGCCCAGTCGCGGCCCTTGTTGTAGGTTATAAGTGTCACCACCTTCCCGTTGGTTTTTTGGTTCGCCAGGAAGACTCCTTTCACCCCTCGGACCTGGGACAGCAATATAAGAAGTGTCGTAAACACGTACCTGGAGCCCTCTGACGACGGAGTATCCACCATGAGCCAGCTGCTTGCTCAGCGCTCTGCCCGCGGGGCCGTGTTTCACACTGACAAAGCCCCAGAGCTGAGGCTGACTGAACACTCTGGAGGTGCGTGGGGCTCGGGGAGCAAGGGATCCCCAACTGTGGCCCCCAAAGCCTGGGTGCTCGCATGACACGGAGCTGTCTTCCCAGGCCCAGACACTGGCCATCAGACAGTGAGCAGAGCCCTGGTCGCACCAGGCCTGTGTGTCACGGTCACCCCGTCTCCACCCCAGAGCTCCTGATTCAGAGCCCTTGCCTCCCTCCAAGGGACCTACAGAGCCTGGGTCATTACTGTGGACTCCCCTTCAGGCTTGCTCAGCTCAGCCGCCCACATGGAAATACCAGGTAGTGAGGACATGGGGTAGGTGCTTACCACAGCCCTGCCTCGGCCAGGGGCTCAGGTTCACCTTGTCCCCTTTCTCAGAGTTTCCCTAGTGCCCGCACAGTGACCCAAACACAGCCAAGAGTCGGCTACTGAGCGGGCCCATAACAAAGGTCAAATATCAGCAAATGCCTGTAGGTCAGCCTCCTGATGCCACAGAGGCGGCCTCTCCCTGCAAGTTCCTTACGAACACACAGGGGCCTCGGGGCCACAGCTACCGAGACCCGCCCGCGTGGCCTCCCATGTGCCTGTGGCTATGTCTGCCCCTCCGTGGGCAGCATGTCACTACTTCTCAAGGTGAGCCCGAGAAAACGGAGCCTCTGGGAGCCACGGAATTTACCCAAGGTCCCAGGCCAAGGAATCTGCTTATGATGCACGGTTCCCAAGCGCCGTCTCTGTGGCGGGTCATCTACGAGCTCCCCCCACGCCAAGGGCCGGCCCTCCCCCACACTCAGCACACAGGCCTGCCATGTGTCCCCCCCCCCGCCCCCGTGGGGGGAGAGCGTGGGCGATGGAAGGAAAGACGGACGAGTGGAGGTTGGATGCGCCTCCTGCGGCTGCCGTAACAGAGTAACACAGTTATAGTTCTGGAGGTCAGAAGTCCAGTATGCATGTCCCCGGGGTTGCAGGGCTGGCTTGTCCTGGAGGCTCCTGTCCTGGCCTCTCCCAGCTTCTGGAGGCCCCAGCTCTACCTCCGAAGCCGGTGGGGTGGCGTCTCTCTGGCCTGTGCCCCATGATCACACGTGTCTCTCTGACCCTCCCCGTCTGCCCCCCCCTTTCAGGGACCCCCATGATCACAGCGGGCCCCCCCAACCCCAATTGCCCCGTGCCACGCGCGTCTGCGCAGGCTGCCGCTCTGGGTGGGAAGGGTATCCAGTGCCTGGTCCGCTGACGAAGCTGGGGCTGGTCCCCTCGCGGTGACGGCCCGGGGCGTGGAGGACCACGGCCCCTTCCCCCACACATGGCGACGTCGCTCTGCCTCCTGCTCACCTGGGGCCCAGTGCTGGCTCGAGGGGCCTCCCCGACATGCTCAGGGCAGGCTGGATGCGGATTTGCCCGGCGCGGGCTTGCTTCATTCCGCAGTGGCTACTTTCTATCCCGCTGGTCTCCATGAACACCCAGCAGCCAACAGCATGGACGCCTCACGCCTGGGCGCTGACAGATGACAGGTGTGGGCTGCGCCCTCCGCAGGCTCCATCTGAGCCGAGGCGCACCAGCCCACAACCTCAGCGTGCTCACCCACGGGCCCCGATCTTCAGGGCGGTATTCACTCCTGCGGCTGTGGTAACAAAGCATCACAAACCGGGGGGCCAGCCGGAAATCTCTTCTCCCACAGTCTGGAGGCCGGAAGTCCAAAACGGAGGCGTGGGCGGAGCTGTGCTCACTCCAGAGTCCCCGGGGAGGACCCTCCCTTGTCTCTTCCAGCTTCTGGTGCCTCCACGGGCCCTAGGCTTGTGTCCGCGGCTCTCCAACCTCGCCCCCGTCTTCACGTCCCTGCGTCTCCTCTTCCGACCCCGAAGGACACTTGTCATTGGATCTGGGGCCCAGCTGGACAATCCGGCATGGTCTCATCGCAAGGTCCTTCACTTAATGACCGCCGCAAAGACCCTTTTTCCAGATAAGGTTATGGTCACAGGTTCCAGGGACGGATATGGCCACATATTTTGGGGGGTCCCCATTCAGGCCACGACAATGGCTGCCTTCCAAACTGTGGCCAGGGCCCTTCACGGGCAGGGGCAAGACTGGGATCCCCTGAACCCCCATTCCTAACCCAAGTTCCAGCACAGAGGCACTCAGAAAAGGGATGCTGTCCTGCCTTGAACCCGGGGTGCACCAAGCTGAGGTCCTAGCTCAGGGGCACATGAAAGTCCAGGCCTTCTGGGTCAGTATCTGCCTGGGACGACTGCCGGACATGCCATCGGAGGAACAATAACCATGACAATAACTGGCTCGTGTGTGGGACCTCACAAGCTGGATTCTGGGCCAAGTCCTTCCTGTGCATTAGCTCTAATCCCCAGGAACCAGGTAAGAGGTGGAGAGCTCGCTGAGTGCTGACTTGGTACCAGCCGCTGGTCTCCATGTTTAAGGAGGACTATGTCCTTGAAACTGTGCAGCAATCCTATGAGGAAAGTAGTACTGCCATCCCCATTTCTCGGTGGGGAAACTGAAGCACAGAGAAGTTAAGTAACCTGCCTAAGGTCACACAGTAAACACATACCAGAACTGGGATTTGAACACAGCCAGTGTGGCTCCAGAGTTGCACTTGTAAGCACCACCCGTGACCCCTGTGAGCTGGATTTCAGAGAAGTGATGTCCCCTGTGAGGACATCCAGCAGGTGGGCGGCAGGCGTCACCTTTGCACCTGCCCCTGTGAACCTCCTCTGGTTCCTCATGTCCTCTCACATCATGGTCGTTGTCCACAGATGTTCCCTGGTTCCCCAGCTGGCTAATTTCTGCTCTGCCTCGACTCGGTCTGCACCCCCTCCTCCAGGAAGCACTCCCTGACTCCCACCCTGGGCTGGGCGACCGCTGCTCACTGTGTCCCCTGGGCGCTGGCACACGGGATGGGAGCCACTGTTGGGAGCTGGTCTTCTCACGGAGGCCGGCAGCTCTGGGAGGGGCGGGCTGCTCCCCCCGTCCCGAGGGAGGGGCCCGGAGCCTGGTGTGCGGTCCAAGCCCCACAGACACCTGCGCACAGAGGGGCCACGGAACAGGACCCTGTGTGCGGCCCCCTCGTTCTGGTCACCCCTCCTGTGCCACTGGCACTTGCTCCCTGCCCCCAGCAGCTGTGCGGTGCAGTAGCCGACACCTTTCAGAGCCGGGTCTGGGACGGGCCCAGTGGCCCCCCTGGAGATTCTGCAGAACAGGGCCCGGGGTGTGGGGCTTCCTCAGGCAGGATGAGGCCACCTCCAGCAAAGGGCAGGGGGCCACCAGCTGTGTTCCTCTGGGTCCTCCAGCGGGGAAGTGAGCGCTGACCAATGGGCTGTCGTTGTAAACAAATGATCTCATCCATTACTTTCTTGGGGAAAATGGTTCCTTGCTGCTCGTTAGCAGCTCAGAGGTGAAGGCTGGAGCCCCGGGTCTCTCCGGGAGGCTGCCTCCCACGCTGATGAACCCAGCTGTCTGCCCCAGGCTCTGCTCACACCCACAGACACCCCAGCACTTACTGCAATTAGGGCACTTGCTGATGTTCCCACGGGCGGGGGCTCCCCGAAGGCAAGGCATGAGGGGAGAGCGTAAAGGTGAAGGACGGAGCGGGGGAGTGCTGGCTAAAAGTCTGGAGCCAAGCCCAGGGCGGACAGGCCTGGGCTGGTTCTGGTTTCTTTGCTTGGTTTCCTGCATCTGTCCAGGCAGGTTGCTCACCTTCTCTGAGCTTCAGCTCCTGACCTGGAAATGGGCTGAGCAGCCCCTCCCTGACTGTGGCGTGGACCGGAACAGAGGAGGGAGATGACCATGAGGAACCCAGTTCAGGCAGGGCCCAGGGTCACGGATCTCTGTGGAATCCAAGTACAGAGTGAGATGGTGCACGGGGGCACCTGGCCTGGGAGTCAGGAGCCCCGGTTCTGAGTCTCCGATCGGGCCCTCGCGTCCGAGGAGAGCAAGTGTGGGCTTCCACAGGAGACAACTGAGGCAGGGAGGAGTGCAGGGGGAGAGGCGGAGAGGCAGGGATGCTCGGAGTCGCTGCCTCTGTCCCTCAGGCCAAACCCCACCATGCCCACTTTCGTGCCTCGGAACGCGAGCCAGGAACGGCTTGACAGATGGTGGCCTGCGATCGTGTCTACCATGAGGACCGCTAACACGGGTCCCCGAACCAGCAAAACAGTACTCCCCAAAGAATCTCATCCTTCTCAAGTAGTAGCTCTGTATCACAGAGAAATCGTACTCCAATATTAAATTTGGAATTTCATCAAAAGGACGAAGTTTTCTCTCTCGCTCTGAAAGCATCTACGTAGTACCCTCTCGGCCTGCAAAGCCTCAAATATGCGGTGCTTTCCCGAAACAGTCACAGACCTGAGACAGAGTGTTAGGGATGAGTGGGGGTGGGGGGAGAAGGGAGGGGAGAGGAGAGAGCAAGGACAGGGTGAGGCCAGGCCCCACACCCGACGCCTAGCACCGGGGGGCCGCGGCCCCCCCGATCTCTCCCGGGCGCCCCACCTCGAGGATGTCGATGACCACACTCTCCTCCGCCTGCCGGGAGCTGCGCACGTCCTCCAGCACCAGCGCGTAGTGCACGCCGCGAGGGTCCGACTGGTACAGGTTGTAGGTGTCCGTCTGGTACCACTCCTGCACCGCTACAAACACCTGGCTCTCGTCCGTGCTGATGATCTGCAGGTCCTGCAGACAGGCGGGGAGAGCGCAGCGTCAGGGGTGGGCTGGAGGCGGGGGTGGGAGACTGAGCCCCGACGGGACGGGGCGGGGCTTAGGTCTGGGGCGGGCGGCTGGTCGCGGCTCTCTGGGAGTCAGGCTGACCTAGAGTTTCATCTTGATTCTGCCTCCGCCTTGTGACCCGGGACACGTCCCTTTGCCTCTCATTTTCCCACCTCCGACATGGGGATGACCATCTGGCCCTCAGTATGGGGTGGTGGGAGGGGTGGCCCGGGCACTGAGCGGGGCACGCTGAGGCCCCCGCCTCCCAGCCCCACGTCAGGCTATCTGCCTGTCTGTCCCTGCATGTACGGAGGACTTCTTCCTCCATGCACCCTCAGCGGTCACCTCTGGGAGACAGGGGACGGGCCTCCCCTGCAGGCCCATCCTGAGGATCAGGTGAGTCATCTGTGGGTTCATTCACTCAGCATGCATTCATTAGGCACCTACTGTGTGCCAGGCACTGTACCAGGCACTAGGACTCAGCAGGGACCACAGGCGGGCTCTGCCCGTGGGAACATACCCTGGGGGAGGGAGGACTGGATTGTCACTCGGCAGTCCTCTCGAGACGCGGGGCTTGGTTCCAGATTTTACAATCAGAAGCAGAACAAAACCTAATCACATAAAAACGAAGAAAAAGGAACCCAGGGCCATCCTTGCTCCGTTTTCCTTTTCTCTCCCAGCCAGCGCCCAGTGCTGTGTGGGAGGCCCGTGAACTCGCCCATTTCAAAGCCGTAACAAGCTTTTCCTCTCCAGCATCTATGACTTCCCTTCTATCACCCCGAAACTTTTATTGCCCTGCTAGCAAGACAGCCGCCAAGACACAGGCGCTGAGGATGGACGCATGAGGCCGGGTCACGCCAGCCAGCACCTGCACAGGAGGTGGTCCCCTCCGGCCCTGCCCAGTGCAGGGCTGCTGCACTCTGGGGGGATGCTTCTCCCCATGTCTTCCTACCTGGTAGTAGGGCAGGGGTGGACAGGTGAGCCTGTTTCTCTATAACACACCGAGTCTCTATGCTGTCCAGGGGGGCGTGGCCTCCAGCGGGGGGACGGTGGGACGCAGTGCTGATGGCCCCTCTCCAGCCCACCCTCCCCACCCCGCCCCTGTGTTATACGGCCTTGCAGAAGAGGGACGTGGTGTTGTGAAGCCCCGACCATGCACCTCCCAATCGGGGGGCCCCTGGCAGCTCGAGCTGGGGCCCTTTGTCTATAGACTTAAATCTAACACGCAGAATTGACTGGAACCAAGAAGCTTGTCACCAGGAAAGACTGTTCAGGTCCAGCTACAAGTAGCCAGCAATGCCGTCCCTAGAGAGACTGATACTAACATTTAAAAATATGTACCTTGGGGCCTTTGCCCAAGTGTGATTCCTATGTGTTTTCCATGTACAGTTTGCAGCCTGCTCTCTCACATTATATGGGGGGCATTTTCCTCTGTCATTAGAATTATACATAAACACCATTTTTATTGAGTGCATGCTATTGTATTTTGTGGATGTGCAATATTTCTTTGAACAATTTCCCCACTGGTGAGCCTTTAGCGTCTCCAACATGACGTGCAAAACAAAACAGGCACCAATGTTCCTAGACATATATCTCTGCCTCTCTGATCCCATCCTGGACATAAACTCTAAGGAAAATTGCTGCGTGGAGAGTATAAGCATGTTTAAGGCTCTGCTTACATTGTTCAGTGACAGTCCTGAGAGTTTACATTCATTCCTTCCCCACCAGCATGGCTAGAGGGTGCTCATTTCACTTCCTGCCAACAGTAAGAATGGTTTTTTAAAAATCTTTGCTGATTAGAGAATGATGATAATAGAGAAGAGATAAATAATATGCAGTGCTGGCTTACATTTGAATCTGTTATTCTATCTCTAAAAAGGAAAGTTAGAAGCCAGAGACGTTTGCCAACTCCATTTTTAAACAAAGGACACGAAACACAATCAGATGCTTATTTGTGTATATATATATGTGTGTGTATATATATATATGCGTGTGTGTGTGTGTGTGTATTTGTATGGCCTGGAGAGATACGTGGAAGGGAATACCAACATTGCTGATACTTGTTATCAGGTAGAATTAGGTTTGATTGCTAGTAACAGAAACTGGAGGAAAAAAAAGTGATTCAAACATGATAGCTCCTTCCTCCCACATGTAAAAGATGTCCAGAGGTGGACAGTCTGGTATGGACACTGTACAAAGTCACTAGGAACAGAGGCTCCTTCTGGGTCATCATTCCACTGCCCCATGGCATGGCCCTTGTCCTCATTGTTCAAGATGATGGTTAGAGCTGCAGTCTTGTTGACTTGCAAGCAGAAGGGAAGAGGGAGACAAAGGCTTGTCTTTAAAGGGGTCTCTGAGAAGTTTCCCATGGCAACTCCACTTCCGTACATGCCCACCAGATGTTAGAGACGTAACCACCTGTCATTGCAAGGGGAGCTAGGAGATGTGGTCTTGTCCTGGAAGCAATGTATCAGGTAAGGTGCGGGGTTTGTTAAAGCAAAGACGCAGGGAAGAATGGATATTGAGCAGTCTCTACGAGTTTTACAACCGTTAACCTTGAGGAACGAGGAGGTAAGACTGTCATGCAAACAAGGAATGGGGAGGCAAGCAGGTGGAAACAGTAATATATACCTCTAGTGTTCCACTAGTTGTAGTGTCTACACTTTAAAGAAGTGATTTCGGAAAGCGTAAAAACATTTGTAGTAAGCACAATGAGGGAAATTTCCCTGTAGACTTTTATATAAAATGCATAGAAAAGCCTAATGAAGCAGCACCTTCATCACATTCTGTGAGCACCGTGCATACAGCAACTCACCACCTTCCAGCCTCCGAGGTTTCCGATGGGAAATCTGCTGGTTACCTCACTGAGGATCCTCGTATGTGACAAGCTGCTTCTCTCTTGCTGCTTTCAAGATTCTTTCTTTGTCTTTCAGTGGTTTGATTACAATGCATCTTGGTGTGCAACTCATTGTGTTTCACTACTTGGAGTTCATCAGGCTTTTTTAGACATTTATATTCATGTGTTGCATTAATCTGGGAGAGTTTGGGCCATTGCTTCTTTTTTTAAAAAGATTTTATTTATTTATTTGAGAGAGAGGGAGAGAGGGGAAAGGAAGAGGGAAACTCATGTAGATCTGTGCTGGGTGCAGAGCCTGACACAGGGCTGGATCCCACGACCCATGAGATCATGACCAGAGCCAAAATCAAGAGTCATATGCTTAACCAACTGAGCCACTTAGGACCCCCCTCATTGCTTCTTTAAACAATCCCCCTGCCCCCATCTCTCTCTCCTCTCCTTCTGGGATGCCCACAATGCATGTGTTGGTTCACTTGCTGGTATCCCACTGGCCCGTCAGATGGTGCTCACTCTTCTTCAATCCTTTTCGCTTTCTGTCCCTCAGACTCCTTAACATCAATGGTCCCACCTTCCAGTTCTCTGAGCCCTTCTTCTCTCTGCTCAAACCTGCTTTTCAGTCCACCCAGGGAATTTTGCATTTCGATTATTGTTTGTTTTAGCTACAGAATTTATATTGGGTTCTTTTTTATGTTTTCAATCTATGTCTTCATTACTTCTATTTTGGTCATTTGTACCTTGTTCTCTTGACTTGTATTCGTGGTTTGCTTTAGCTCTCTGAGCATCTTTACGACAGTCGTATTAAAGTCTTTGTCTGGTAGGTTCACCATCTGGTCTTTTCAGGGATAGTTTCTGTTGCTTTTCTCCTTTGATTGAATCATATTTTCTTTTTATGCCTTATAATTTGTTGTTGTTGAAAAGTGGACACTGCAATCTAATCATGTGGTAACTCTGGAAATCTGGTTCTCTCCCTTCCCTAGGATGTGTTGCTTTTTGTTTCTGTACTAGGGATCAGTCTGAGGTAGAAACTCAAGTGAGCCTGAGCTTTTCCCTGGGCATGCATGGTGACTTTTCTGAATTCCAACATATGACTGGTTGCTTTTGAATGTTGTGGTCCCTAAATGTCCAAGGGGGTCGGGGGGGTGGAAACAGGCTCTGGTCCTTTAAATCCTTCAGAAGCTGCTTCAGCCAGTGCTGGCTGCAGCAATGGCTGCCCACCAGGATGTCTGTACCTTCATGAGCAGAAGCAGCAATCTACCCCCAGTGCAGACCCCCAGTATTCAGAGAAAAAGGTCCCCATGGCCACCCTGGCTCCTGCAAGTGATTTGCAAGCTGCTCTGGGCCCATGAGCACAGCTGTCTGCTACAAGGCTGGGGCGGAGGGGGCAGTGCTGGGGCTATCATGGGAAGAGCTAAAATTGTGGAAATTAACCTTGATTTACTGTCCAAACCTTCCCCTGGAGGCTGCAAGCCCTTGAATAGACTCCAGAGTTCTAAAACAGGTGATTTAGACTGATTCTGCAGAAGCAACTGTGGCCTAAGTGAGAAGATGGGGGGCTGGCACACTCCACCACCATCTGTGTCATCCCATCCCCCTTCATTCTTTTTTTTTAAAGATTTATTTATTTAAGAGCAAGAGCGAGAGAGAGAGAGAGAGAGAGCATGCCCATAGGGAGGGGCAGAGGGAGAGAGAATCCCCCAAGCATACTCCCTGCTGAGTGGGGAGCCCAATACAGGGCCCAATCCCATGAGACCACGACCCGAGCTGATGCCAAGAGTCAGACCCTCCACCAACTGAGCCACCCAGGCTCCCCTTCCTCCTTCATTCTTATGTTTTATGGGTTTCATTTTATTGTATAAAGGTTATTACAAATAAAGGAATATTTTACTTGAAAGTAAATTTGCATTTACTTTATGTGTATGAATGGTTTCATATAACTGATGGTTATTTGGATTTTTTTCCCTCTTTTCTGTTTATAGCTTTGCCAATTTTTTTCTCTGTGAAGGAAGGTGGTATTTTTTTTAAAAAATCATTACAAGTAAGTAATTCAAGAAAAGGATGCTGGCAAATATAATAAAACCTGTTTACCTTTTCTAGTTTCCACAGACAGGTGAGTTAAAACAGTAGAATGGTACCAATCATGCCTTTTGAAGAAGAAGGAATGTCGAAAGAATGGATCCAACATGAAATCGGGCAAAGCTCTGTTGACACCCGCCTGTTCTAACATGGCCAGTGGTGAGGTGGGAGGCGCCAAGCTACACAAATATTTAAATTCACCAAAGAACAACAAAATCTGATTGGGAAATGAACTAGCCAGTTCTATAGTTGTTGGTGGAAAACACTGCGGTCTGGCCACTCCCCTGAACTTGGTGGAGAGGAAGCAGACCTGCTGTGTGGCTGGGCAAAGTGCTCAGCAAGATGACCAACTCCCCAGGACACAGGGTGCTTCTGATGCTGTGGCCCCCCGGGGTTGGGGGGAAGGAAAATCCCCACAAGTTGAAAGGACCCCTCACCCCCAGGGACACCAATGCATTTGCCCTACATGAACCCATTAGCTTTTCATTTCCTGGCTCAGCCAAGCCTGGAGTTAATCTCTGCAACTTCTTCTTCTTCTTCTTTCTTTTCCTTTCCTTTGTAACCCCTTTCCTTTTCTTTTTTTTTTAAGGAGAAGTTTTAAAAAGTTTTCTTGAAGTTTTAAAGAAAACCCTCAAGTACTTGCCTCGTTCCTGGCTCAGGAGAGGTGTGCCGCTGCCCGGCGCAGCCCAGCACAGGTGAGGGTGTGGGGGGCTTTACAACAATGCATGGCCCCCAGCCTTGCAGGGCCCAGAGCAAAGATCTCCTCTCCCCACCCCAACCCGCTGCTTTACAGCCAGGCTCCCTCCTGCCCCAGGCCCTTCGCACAAGCCCAGACCTCCACTTGCCCAGCTTTCCCTCAACCTTAAGAATTCAGAGGAAATGTTCCCTCAATGATGCCCCCCCACCCCATCACCCTTGGCCTCTACCTCTCCTTCCCTCACAGGGCAAAGCACAACCTGAGATCATTTCATACATTTGTCTGTCTACTTGGTTTTCCACCTGCTTCCTTGCTGAAAACCCACCAAGAGCAGGAACTGGGGTATCTGATCCAGAGCTGCAGCATCAGATCCTAGCATGCTTCCTAGCTTATATGTGATGCTCAATAAATATGTGGGGGAGGAAGGGCTACTCCCATCTGTGCTTCTCAATCACAAGCACATGGGATGGAGTTCTGGGAAGTGGGCCATCCAAGATCCTCTGGAGGGAGATGTGGCATGAGGCTGGTCTCAGACCAGCTTCGGTTCCTTACTAGCTGTGTGACCTCAGACAGGTTACCCAGCCTCTCTGAATGTCCATCACCTCCTCTGGGACCTGGGAACAACATCAGCAGGGAGGGCACTGTGGAGTTTGGTCCTAAGGCAGGGCTAGGGCAGGGTCTGGGCAGCCCCCACGTCCCCCTTCTCTGTCTGCCCAGCAAAGGGGAAGGAAGTAGCATTAACTGAGCACCTACTATGTGTCCGTGGCCATATTAGGCAGTTGGAATGTAGAGGTGAATAAAACAGAAACTGCCCCTCCCTCACCTGCGAACTCCAGACGAAAGTAGGAGATGGATACAGGGGTTCACCAGCACCCTGAGTGACAGGGAGGAGGATAAGGGTGCAAGAGGGAAACCAAGGCCTGGACTGGCCTGGAGAGGCCCTCATAAGACACATTCGTCTTGTCCGAAACATCTCGTGTGTAGGGGTTTGGGGAAGAGGCAGACCGGGCTGAGGGGAGAGGATGGCCGAGGCCCTACGACCGGATGGAGCTGGGCACGAGTCAGTGTGGGCTCGGGACCTGGCCACGGGGTCAGGTGGGAGGGGAAAGGACTCTTACCTTTGGCAGTGCATACTTCGGCAGCTTCATCAGGACAAATTCACTGCGACGATAAGAGATGTAGTATTTGGTCTGGTTTGTTGAGGTTGCCTAACAGCAGGGAAAAAACACATTTTTAAGAAGCTAGTTTCCAGTCAAGCCAGGTCCTCACAAATGAAAAACTAGAAATTGTATTTCAGCTGGTGAGAATGCCCTTTTCCTTTGCTTAGACCTGCTCTGCCTGAAATGGACAGACTCCTACTCATCCCTCAAAGCCCCACACCAAACGCCCCACCCCTTCCATGTCTCTCTGTTAGAACCAACCTCTGTCCCCATGCTCTCTCAGCACCTGTGTCCCTACATCCATGTTACAGAACAAAGTGGGAAGTTCTCCTCCCCAGAACTTTTCTTAGGGAGAGCACTGGGTGAAGGAAGAGACTGGCCAAAGGTAAACTCAAACCACAAAAGACGACTATCAAGCCACAAGGCATGAGAATCGAAACAGGAGGCGGCCCATGCTGAGATGGTCCACGTGGCCGCGCCGTCCTGAGTACTGCTCATCTGGGCTCCCGACAACCAGCCCCACGAACTGCAATCCCTTCCGTGGTAAAGATGAGAATACCGAGCACAGAGATGAGTCACTTGTCTTCCGTGGGCGATAACAGATGAGCCAGGAAAAGAGAGGCTCTCTCTCAGATGGGGCAAGGAGAAGAGAGTGGGAGGAGAGGGACAAGGGGGCAGCCAACAGGGGCTGGGAGAGGGCGGTGGCCCGGTGGGGGGGATGATGGATGACCTCTGTGTCTCACCATGTGTATGTGTGTGTGTGGGAGTGCAGACCATGCACGCGTGTGAGAGTGAACACGTAACCTCACACGTGTGTGTCCACTGTGTGCATGCACGTGGGGGTGAATTCTATGCATGAATGCGTGAGCAGGAGTCCTCTGTGTGTTTGTGTGTGTGTACACACGTGTGTTCGTGGCAACGCAGTGCCGTGCTTAAGAGCACAGGCCATCACGCGTCACTGCCTGGGCTCAGATTCCACCTCCACCATCAGGAGCCACGTGGCCTTGGGAGAGTTTTCTGAGCCTCAATGCCCCCCGCGCCCAGTAAATGGGGTGGACAAGATCAGAAGCAAAGTGATGGGGCAGTTGCGGGTATTAGCATCTGGGAAGCACGTGGGGCAGCACGTGGCCCTAGTAGGAATTGTTGTTATTACAAATCAACAAACTACAACAAGCCCACTGTGCAAAGCATCGCGACTACATGGCTGACCAGGTTTCTCTAGGTAATTCCATCCCAAGGGCAGGGACGGTGAGGTCTGTGTGGTCTGGCCCTCGGCGGCCCTGAGCAGGTGGTGTTGGGATGGGGGAAGCACGGGGCTCCAGGGACTCAAAGAGAGCACCCTGGGGTAGGAGAAGCCAGGCAGACTTCCTGGAGGAGGGGGCACCCTGCTTCCTCAGAAGGAAGAGCCATGCAGCCCAGAGACAGACGTGCTTAGCAGGTCAGGGAGGACGCTGGAAAGCGTGGCCGAGAGAAGTCGGTGCCCCTTCTCAGAGCCCCGTCTGCTAGCAGCTGAGCTCTGGGGATGGTGCCGAAGGTGGGGGCAGGCTGGGCAGCCCTCCCGGCCTCAGCCTCGCGAAGATCGCGTTCTTTGGGGAGCCCTGGGCAGATGCTCAGCCAGTCAGGGCAGGCCAGGCCCATTCTTGTCAGGAGCTGGGGGTGAAGGAAGCTGGTGGTGCAGAAGGAAGGAGGCCTGCAAACCTTTCTAAAGGGCCAGCCTTGCTAAGGGCAGGCCACGGGGCAAGGCGGCTCGTGGTTCAGGCCCGAGGCTGTGGGGCGAGCAGAAACGCCGCCATCCCTGAGACGCAAATGCGACTTTTGCTCGGGGAGCAGACCGCGCTGAACACAGCAACCCCCTTCACAGGGGAGTCTGCCTACCTCCTGAGAACCGCCCGCCTGGCCCCTCTGGCTGGGCTGACCAGTAGGAGCAGGCCGAGAAGGCTGAACCGCGGCGATTCTTCCCGGGACGGCAGGCCCTCTGCCGGATCCCACAGGGCCTCTTCCCCCACCGTGAACGCAGCCGGTGTCCATCCGCGCCTCTGGGTGGCCAGGGCTAATTATCAGGCCCATTTTATGGGTCAGCAAATCGAGGCTCAGAGGTGGAACGACGGCTCTTCCCAAAGCCAGCTGGTGGCACCATCACATTCAGACCCCTGCTTGTGTGCCCCTTGTTCCCCGAGGCCCAGACCCTTCTTTCTGGAGGGTGAGGTCCCATCCCCGGCCCACAGCATGGCTTCAGCCCACAAACCAGCACCACGAGCCACTCGGCGCCTTGACTAGGGGCCCGGCAAGTGGACCCCCAGGTTCATCTCATACTTCGTTGGCGGGGAGGAGCGGCGGGAGGGGCCGGTGGGCACTGGGCCGGGATCCTGTGAGGGCCAGGAAGGAGGGGGAGAGAGGAGGGCAGGCAGGACCACCTCCCAGTGTTTACCGTGGGCTCCCTGCAGGGGACCCGCTGCAGGGGAGCAGCCCCCCGGGGTGCCCTCTGAGTTGGGGGTCAGGAACAGCGTTCCTGGGCAGTTGTTGAGAAAGTTGGGGACCAAGTAAGGACAGGAGCCCGATGGAGACCCGTGGCCCCTGATGGCATGAGCTGCTGCTGGGGGCTGCCTGTGCTCACAGGGTGGGGCCTGCCTGTCCAAGGTCAGACCAGGCCACTGTGACCGTGAGGCTGGAGACAAAGCCGAGGGCACACCACAGCCCCGTCTGAGCACACACAGACCACACCCCAGAAACGACCAGGCGCCCTGCCCCAGCGGCGGGGAGGGGGGGCCGCTCCCTATATCCCACCTCGCCTGTGGCCTCGCTGAGCCTGGCTCCTTCCGGATCAGACTTACCAGATGCTCAATCACAGAGAGCCCTGCGTCCCTTCATGCTCCCCCCATCTCTTCCCACGCTCCACCCTCTGACCCAGCCGCCCCCCAGCTCCCCTGGTGCACATCCTCCCTCTAGCACAGATGTAGAGCCCACCCCCTGATTGTAGAGTCTGGTGTAGACAATAAAGGATGACACCATGTGGCCCGGCTGTGACCAAGGAAGGCACAGGGCTCTGAGGAGGCAGACGGTGGGCCTGAAGTAGAGATGGAAGTCAGGGAAGGCTTCCTGAAGGAGGTGATGCATGACTAAGTCTTGGAAGGAGAGCGGGAGTTAGCCAGGCAGAGAAAGAGACACGGACATCCCAAGGACAGGGACCAGAGTGTGTAATCACACAGAGGAGCCTGGCAACCATGGGATATCACAGAGGCCCAAGAACAGTGACAAGATCCTCTTGGCTGGCCTGCTCTAATGGGCTGTGATGTCCCTGCCAGTTCCCCAGGGGGGCCTGGTGTATTTCGAGGGTGGACAGGACAGCTGGAGTAATGAACCATTCCTGAGACAGGGCAAAGAAGAGGCTGGGAGCGGTGGGGAGCCTTCTCCATAGGAGCTTTTAGACGTGTCTCATGGGGTCCCAGAAGGCAGGACAGGGGCCACCAGATAGGAGCAAAGGAAACACTCTGTCTCAGCGCCAGGATGAACTTTCTAAAGATTTGAGCTATCCAGGAGACAGATAGGCTGTTTTGGAAGGAGTGAGCTCCTCATCAGTGGAAGTAATCAAGAAGTGGTATGACCAGCTATTCACTGGAGTTTCTGAATGGTCAGACCACATGTCTTTTAAGGGTGGTCCAAACTGGGACCGGAGTCCCTGTGTGTACAGGCAGCAGGGTCCTGGCCGCTGGGCTATGCCCAGCTGGTGCCTGGCCGCCAAGGGCAATAACCAGAGACAGCCCCTATCATTTCCAAAGTCAGTGAAACCAAACGGAGCAAACTGGGTTCGGGCTCGGGGGCCCCGAGCCACAGGAGGTCCCTGACGGGCAGAAGGGAGGAGGAGCATCCCTGCCTCGTGGCTGTGGTTTGGTGGGGCCGTGCGGGTTACCGCAGCCACCACCACCGGGCGGGGGAAAGCACGAATGAAGTAGCCCTTGAAAGTCAAAGAGCCGTATTATTGCCGCCTGTGTGAGTGATTCCATCTTCCCCGGCGCGGCTTGTTCTCCACATCGCCTACTGCCCGTCGCCGACACACCCAGAAGCAGCCTTACCTTAAAGAAGATGTAATCGTCCTGCACGGTCAGAGAACTGTGGTCAATGGGGCCTGGGAACGGAGCCGTCAGCGTCTTCTCGGAACAGTTGTGGATCTGGCAGGTGACATAGCGAAACCCTGCGGGAGAGAAGAGCCAGCACTTGGCGTGTGAAATCTCACGCACTCCGACCGTGGCCGCAGGAGGAGCCAGACACAGCCTCGGACTGGGCTCGGCCGGATACTGCCGCGGCGGGTTGTCCCTGCGGCTGGGCTCAAAGGGCCTGCCCCATGATTGCACCTGCCGCCGAGCCGTGGCGGCGATGTGCCCAGTCGCATCCTCGGGATGGTCCTACCGTGGTCCCATCCTCTGGATGGTAAAACTAAGGCCAGGAGAGGTCAGGTGATGTGTCTAAAGCCCACCAGCTTCTTGTGAAGAGAGGTTTAGGGGTACACAGCTGCACCTGCTCCTCTGGGGGTCGTGGACAGCCGCTCTCCTACGACAATGGCAGAGTCCGCTGTGGCAGAGACCCTAGGGCCGCCACGCCGGAAGCATCCAGTAGCTGGCTCTTGACGGGGAAGGGCCACTGACCCTGGGAGAAAGTCGTGCCGGTGAGAGCGGGACGTGAGCACGGGACTTCATCCGCCTTCTGCCCACGGCTCCACGCCACACCTCGCTCTCGGCTCAGGCGACACACCCAGGCTCTGTCTCCCTGGGAGAGAGACCTGTGAGGGAGACGGACTGTGGGCGGGTCACCCCACACCAGCCAAGTGGCCTGTGCCGGGTGCGTGCGGTCACCCACAGAACGGACAGCACAGGGCCACGGGGGGGTGCACCCACAGCGTCCATCAGAGCATGGGACCCCTCCCACCCCCTGGAGTCTCGCCTACCTAAACAGGGGCGGGTGTGGGTGGGACTCAAATGGCCTTTGTTCCCCCAACTTTTGGCAAACGCTTTCATCCCTTTGCAAATATTTACAGCCAGGCAAAATGGAAAGCACACTTTGCAGGTGGCCACTGTTTTTATTTCAAGCCCTGTTTTCCCAGGGTTTGGGGGATCCAGCGAAGTTGTGCAAGGCGGGGAGCGAGATTACACACGGCAGGCAACTCTTCCTCCCAGCTTGTGGGGCGGCGGCAGGGTTTAACCTTGGGCACCAGAGGGAGCCCACAAAGGCACTCCGAGTCATCAACGCCTTCGGAGCACGTCCTGCCCACAGCCCTGGCTGGCTGGACGGCGTGGACAGTGCCGAAGGGCCGCCTCGGGGCCAGAAGACCCACGCCCGAGTCCAGTGGCAGGATAACATCGGTCCCACGTGCTCTGCTGTGAAATGGGTAAGAACGCCCACCTCCACGAGTTGGTGAGGACCGAGGGAGAGCGGCACCGAGGCCCACAGTCAGCACCGCCGTGCCGACTCACCCCTGAAACCCGTCCACTTCCCTGCTAAACGGCCGGGCCACTCCCTGCGGCCACCACTGAATTTTTCCTGTCCTGGGCTCGCCTGCTGGGCACGGGGTGGGAAGACTCGCCCAGCCTGCTTCAAAGTCAGCAACCTGCTCACGAGCTCCTTCACCGGCTCACGCACTCACTCGCTCACTCATTCATTCACTCAGTCATTCACTCACTCACTCACTCATTCATCTGTTCATTCACTCACTCATTCATTAATTCACTCATTCACCCACTCACTCATTCACTCACTTATTCATTAATTCACTCACGCATTCATTTTCTCACTCATTCACTCACTCACTCACTCATTCACTTGCCCACTCGCTTGCTCACTCACTCATTCACTCACTTGACTTGCTCACTCACTCGACTTGCTCACTCACTCGCTCACTCACTCACTCACTCGCTCGCTCACAATGGCCCTGGCCTCAGGGGAGCTGGCATTTGGTCACGTGCTGGTTCATTCGGCAGCTCTACTGGGGACACAGAGGTGAATCGATCAGGCCCCACCCCATCCCCACAGAGCTCCAGGTGCGGGGCGGTGTGCAGAGCTGTGACCGCAGCCCAGGCACTGAGAAGGTGGCTGGCAGGGAAGGTGGTCCAAGCACAATAAGAAACCCAAGATGGAGAGATGGAGTGAGTGTTCCCAGTAGGGGCTGAGGGCCAGCAAGGTGAGCTTGGGGAGTGACCACATAGTTCAGGCTGGCTGGGGTAGGCAGGGTAAGGGGTAGGTGAGTGACAACCGGCAGAGGGACCAGAAGGTCCGGATGCCATGCCACTGAGCTTGGCTGGACTGGATTCTAATGGGGCTCCCAGGCTGGGGTGGGGGCACCACGTGTCGGGAAGCAGGGGGACACATGTGGTCTTTAGGGGAGGGGACACTACTCCAGTGGCACATCGGTTCTGGGGGGTCTGCAGCTGCTGAGCTAAGGGCTCCTCCCCCACCCCCCAAGGAGGGCAGGTCATGGAAAATCATCACTGTGTGAAAATGCCCCCCCCATCCAGGGTGCTGGCTTGTCCCTCCTCCTTGCTAGACGTGGGCGTACCCTGAGAGAAAACCACCCCCGTTGTTGCTGCCTTGAGCCCTGTGGTGTGGATGGGGGTCAGTCCCCATAGCACCCTCAGCGAGGCCTGGGATGTTCTCGGGTTTGTGGGTGGAGCATGGTGGGAGCTGGGGTCTATACCGGCCTATGACCCTATGAGTGCGGGCAAGCCCGGAACCCCTCTGAGCTTTGTTCTGGTGAAGCAGAAGCAAGTGACCATAACACCTGCCTCACCTCCCCGCAGGACAGCGGATCCTGGAAAGAGCTGAGGGCTTGGAAAAGGTTAAGGCACCCGCAGCAGCTTCCCTCCACTACCAGCAAGCGTTCACCCATGACGTCCCTGCACTGAGCACCACGTGTGCCTTGACCCATTTCACAGATGAGGACACCGAGGAGCAGCGAGGAGAGGTGACTACCCCAGGGTCATGCAGCTGGCCCGTGGCAGGCTGTGCCAGTGATTGGAGTGCCAATCACTGTGCCACTGGAGCCGACGCCAGTGATTCTGTTCTCAGCCGGGCCTCTCCGTGGCCTGGCCCTGAATCTGCCTTCCACGTAGTATGCCTTACCCAAGGAGCTCTACTGCTTGGCACTTGTCAAGCCCACCATTTGTTAAATGTGCACCTACAGAGATCTCACTGGAAGAGAAACCCAGCAGGAGGAGGCTTAACGGCCCCAGCGCCTGAAGGGTTACGCGGTCAGAGAAGTGACAGCCCTGGGGCGGCGCCAGTTCCGTGCTCCTCCCCCCACTTGCTGCACTCGGTCCCGTGGCTTCTAGTGTGGATGGCACCTGTGCTGTCCCCAACCAGGCAAAGGGAAGGTCTGTGTCTTGTTCACCTGTGTCCCCAGCAGGGTCAGCACTGGGCCTGGTCCACGGGGGACTCAGCAAGCACTTATTGAATAACGGTCCTTTTGGCTCTGATGTCCTGGAAGACCCCATGGTTCTAGAATATTCCATAGTTCTAGGGCCAGTGCTCCTCCGTCAGGAGCACAGAGGATCTTTCTCATAGCATACAAGGCCCCGGGCGCATTCTGGCATGAAGCCAGCTGGGTTGGGGCGGCCAGGCCCCTGCCCCATTAGAGGGGAAGCCATCAGAGGTCCCCACCTGGCCTCCGCAATCACTAGCTCTGGAGGTGGGGGCAGAGTGAGCAGGAAACACTCAATGCTCAGGGGCCAGAACAAGTCACCCTCTTAATGGACTTTTCCACTGGAGCAGAGCTCCTTGACTTCAATTTATCCCCAGCTGGAAAACAAACACATTTAAAGTTACACCACATCGTAACATAGTGAGGTCAGCTGTGTGGGGCCAGCCGAGGAATGGAACAAGGGCACGTAAGGACGCCAGGGGACACAAGGTGCACGCACCCCTCCCGGCTTACCTCCTCCAAGGTCCTGGGCTTCCATGTGGACCAAGTCAGGGTCGGCGTCCACCCCAGACACAGCCCTGGAAGAGAGTGCGTGGGGGTTGGCGCTGGGACCTGAGTCCCCAAGGTCCTCTCCCAGTGCCTGCATTAGCCCCCAAGCCCCAGGTAGCCACATGGCCTCCCGGGGCGGGGGCCGCTCTTACTCCATGGGGCTGAGGGCACAGTCCCCACCTGCTCCTGGGGAGGTAGCCAGAACTTGAGGGTTCACTTGGTATTCTTGTTTTTATGATACTCTCTACAGAAGACCCTCCTTTACCAAACACCTTCACATTCCTTGCATCTTTATTGTTGTTTTTGTTTTGTTTACGATCAAAATACTCTGAGGAGGCTAGGCAGGCCTTGGGAATATCACCCTAATCTTGCAAATGAGGAAACAGAGGCTCAGAGAAGCAAAACATCCCCCTACCCCCACCCAGGGGTGCACAGCTCTAAGTGCAGAGCCGGGATTCACACCAGGCTCCCTCTCCTTCACCCCGCTGCTCCCTGCCCCGCGACGTGCCACAGCGCAGGCCCCCGCCTTGCCAACATGGGCCCAGGGCTCCGGCAGCGCCCGGAACTCAGCGGGGACTGTGGTTGCCCACGGAGCCTTCAACGAGACCTGAGAAGAACAGACGAAGGTGCATGCTAGGGTCGCAGCTTGTGGGCAGCATCCTCCAGGGGAGGCAGGATCGGGGCCGACAGCCTCAGGGCCCCCTCCAGCACCCACCCAGCACAGGGTCCTGTGCCCAGGAGGTCAAGTGCACACTCTCCAACTGAGAGGAACTTCAGAGGTGGGGCGCCCCCACAGTCCACTGATGGTCCAAACCCGCGGCACCAGCCACTCTGCCCCGAAGTAGAGCCTCTGCTTCAAGGTGAGGTTTGATTCAGGCTTTCGTGAACAGAACACCTGTGCGCTCCCAGGAACGAGGTCACCTGCCTGACCTTTTTCTCTCTTTTCTGAATAGAGACATTGTTCCCTTTACCAGGGGCACTGATGGGTCCTCAGCCGGCCAATGGGATTTTAGTGTGACCACTGGTCATCTGCAGGGTGCGGTTGTGACACCGGCTTGCTCCTTCGCTCCTTCACTCATTCCCTCCCTCACTCCTTCATTCATTCCCTCCATCCTTCCCTGCTTCATTCATTCATTTTCTCCCTCATTTATTCATTCATTCTCTCCCCTCATTCATTCACTGACTCCCTCCCTCCCTCCCTAATTCATTCATTCCCTCCCTCGCTCATTCACTCACTGACTCCCTCCCTCACTCACTCCTTTACTCCCCCCTAATTCATTCATTCCCTCCCTCATTCATTCCCTCCGTCATTTACTCATTAATTCATTGACTCATTAATTCATTGACTCCCTCCCTCCCTCACTCTCTCACTCATTCATTCATTAATTCCCTCCCTCTCTCACTCACTCATTCACTCCCTCACTCATTCATTTACTCACTCACCCACTCACCCCCGCACAGACTCACTCGCCCGCTCAGTCTGCACCTGCCCCCCCACTGAGCAGTGCCTCCCCCAGCCCCCTCATCCTCTGGCTCTCCCACTGGAGCACCCCACAACTGAGCCCCAACAGCCCACGCCAGGCCCTGGACCAGACAGGGGCCCAGTGGATTGGGGTCCCTGCCCAGACTCCCTTGGTCATGGGTTTGAAGACCATTCAAGGCTGCGTGTCCAGCCCCGCAGATACAGCCCGGCTCCCTGCAGGGAAGGACACATGTTGACCCCTGTGCCTTCTTGTTCGTTGGAGTCCCCAAAGATGGCCTGTGGGGAAGGTGCTTGGTCTACTGCTTAGAAATAGCAGACGTGTGAGAGGACCCCTGGGCAGGCAGATCTCTGGAGAGCGCAGTGCTTTGGGGACACGGGGAGTCAGCTTTCAGGCCTGCTGGATGCCACCAGAAGCTCTGATAAACCCTCCAAGACTCCGCACCGACCCGGGCTTAAAGTGGGATGAGCTGTCTCCCCGGCCAACCTCCACCGCCTGCCACTCATCCCACACCTGGGCAGGTGCTGAGCTGAAGGCAGAGAGAGGCTGAGGCTTTATGGGTCAGCTCGGGCCCGGGCGGAGAAGCAGACACGGGTGTGGCTGGAGAAAGCAGGCGAGCAGACCGCCCGGCCCAGCGGCTATCAACTCGGCCCCAGCCCCAGGCAGAGGCAGCCCCCCTGCTCATGGGCAGCATGACCTCGGACACATGCCCAAGCCTCCCTGAGCCTCAGTCTCCCCCACTGTCACGTGAGGGGAAGACGATCAGGGTCTGAGAAGACGATGCATGCAGACCCCCAGTCTGGTGCCTGGTAGCTGGTCAAAGTCCACAATGTGGCAGCTCCCGGGGGGTGGGGGGCGGGGGGGGCTGTTATGGTTTTGTTCCAGGTCCACTGAGACACCACAGGGAGGGCAGCGAGCAAGTGCCCCTGGTGGGCCCAGAACACAGCCGGCCTCTCGCCCCCGGGCTGCCCCTCCCAGGGACCCCCAAGGTCATGCTAAGGAGCTCGCCTGCTGTTTAGCCTCCCAAAGCATGAAGGGGTCCGAGCCTCAGACAGAATGCGGGCTTTGGCCGTTCCCGCTGTCAGTTCAAGGACAAAGAGCGCCTCAGAAACGCTGTCAAAACAGTGTTATTCACTGCTTCCAAGAGGGGGACCCATGGCTGCCTGTCACCGCGTTCCAGGAGAGGCTCCTGGGCCCCAGGGGCTAAGTGTCTGGCCTGATTATCTCTCACACATAACAACTAAGGACAATTTGAGCAACTTGGGGAAGAAATCATTTGATTTGCCCCAGACACTAATATGTTCGAATTAGTGCCGGTTTACCTCTCAGTATCTGCGGGCAGGTTTGCCTCTCCGGCCCGAGAGATCTCCAGGGCACCCGGCCCAGCCTGGGACCCCGGGGCATCGCAGCGCTCGGCCACTCCGCCAATTTCTCGGGCCCCGCTGTCCAGAAATCCCACCTCTGTGCCCCTCCCCACCTCCTGGGGGCCCTGGGGGCCGACAGCTGACATCAGTGACAGGGCCAGTGATCACTCGGGTTTCCAAGGAAGGAAGCCGGCCCTCCCCCCACCCGCAGAAGGCACACAGGCCAGCAGCCGGTATCCCAGACTTAGCGACCCGGGCTGCCCTCCAGCCCCGCAGCCATAAGCCAGGAAAGGAGCTCCTTGCGTGGTTAGCGACGCACGGCGCAAGGGAGGGAAAGGAGAACTATTGCCACGGTGCTTCTCTGCGGACGGACAGGACTGTGGCCCAATGAGAAGGCCCATCTGCAGTCTGTTGTACAAATGAGCTCAGAAGGGGAAAGGCTAGGAGGGTGTGTGCACACGTGCGTGTGTGTGCACAAGTGCAAGAAAGCCATTTGGTGGGAAGAACACGTGTGTAAGCCACGTCTCTCCAGGGGCAGTTTAGGCAGAAGAAGGCACCGTGGTCATGGCTGGTGCACGGCAAACGTGGGCCCTGAGCCAGCGGTTCTCTCAGCTTCCGCCCCCTCTGCTGCCTGAAAGTGCCACGGGTGAGTACTCACCCCCCACAGGCCCCAAGTACTCACCCCCCACGGGCCCCAAGTACTCACCCCCCACAAGTACTCACCCCCCAAAGGCCCACCAAGCACTCATCCCCCACGGGCCCCTCAAGTACTCACCCCCCAAGGGCCCCACAAGTATTCAACCCCCCACGGGCCCCTCAAGCACTCACCCCACACGGGCCCAACAAGCACTCATCCCCCACGGGCCCCACAAGTACTCACCCCCCAAGGGCCCCAAGTACTCATCCCCCATGGGCCCCACAAGTACTCACCCCCCAAGGGCCCCACAAATACTCACCCCCCAAGGGCCCCACAAGTACTCACCCCCCAAGGGCCCCAAGTACTCATCCCCCACGGGCCCATCAAGTACTCACCCCCCACGGGCCCCAAGTACTCATCCCCCATGGGTCCCTCAAGTACTCACCCCCCACGGGCCCCTCAAGTACTCATCCCCATGGGCACCTCAAGTACTAACTCCCCAAGGGCCCCACAAGTACTAACCCCCCCATGGGCCCCTCAAGTACTCATCCCCA